CGCCTCAGATTTTTGCTACTATCTGGTTTGTTTCGTCAGAAAGGTCATATTCTGGTGCAAATGTGCAGGCTGATGGAGAAAACTTGAAAACTTCTCTCTGAACACGGGGCCAATCATTTAGCAAGGGTACAGGATACCGGGGGGGCCATGGATACAATAGCTATCCTAAACCAGGCCAGCTAGCCAAGACAATGACCTGAGATCGTGCAAAGTTGCAAGGAGATGGATGAAGTCTCTCTAGCCACACACGGTTCACGAACTATCTTGCAGCAGAACAACAGCCGTTGCTATCATGATTCAGCTAGAGGTTTATTCATTTTTGGTTCATGTGTTGCTGCTCTGATTGATAGAAACCAACGGTACACGTAGGGCAGCCTCCATTATAATAAGTGTCGTTGTTCATGACAACTAGTAGCAAGTAAAATGGTCGGCCAGATCGTACTCGATGCTCCCACACAAATACCTGACAATTTAGACTGATCATGCTTTGACCCACGGTAGTTTCTAAACTATGTGATTACACTGTGGAGTAGTATCAAAGTAGCATTGTTAGATTTCTAACCAAAAGTATACTTCACTCTTGCATTGCATACTACTCAAAAAATAACGGTTAAAATCACACTCGTCAAACGTCTCGACACACCGTCATGAGTTACGTTTAAAAACAGTAGTACTGGCTTTAACATTGATCACATTAAAGTTGTATGCTACCAACATGGCCAACACACTGCCAGGCACTATTCATGATTGATAGACAGCTGAGTAAGGTGCCATAGCGCAGTAGTGCTATCCTGAGTCCTGACCATAACCAAATTTGCAACATTATGTGTAGCTGTATGTAACCCAGATGCTGGGAGCAGCACTTCCAGAGGTAGGAGTAAGACTGAATGTGACACATCTTAATACTATAAATCTAGACATAATCATCCAGTACTAGATAGCAATATTTTGGAACGGATGAAATATACGGTTACAGAAAAGGTGAGTATTCATAGTTTGATGCATGCTAACCAGGTGAAATTCAGGATTTGCCAGACCTAAAGTTGGCATTTCAAGCTTTGCTTACCTCATGTCTCACTTACACGCGCGGGTCCTGATCCCACAAGTCATGGACATGTGAGTTGTTGAGTTGAGTATATTCATCACAATTGAGAATATCTTGATTCAACAGGAAAAGAAAGGAAACCACATGGAGCAAAGAGAATAATGAAATATTTGCAAAATAAGTCACACTAGATAAATTGGAACAGGGGAATTCGGACTCCAAACCAGAAGGAAAAAAGACATGGTTGATGATCCATCATTCTCCTATAACCTTTCCAAGCCAAGCAAGCATACCACCCTAGCATCCTGTACACATCTAAAATTCAACGTCACCTTAGCAGTTACCAACAATCCAAACCCTCTGTCCCCACCCCCTGGATGGCTGGATCCTCCTCTCAGTTGATGTTAGTTATACCAACTAACCATCCGTCACTCGCAAACCACATTTGTATTCACATTACCAAACCAAAGCCATCAACCGTTATTTACAGATGATCATCTCTACCCCTCCTTACACAGCTACTCCATTCTCCAAGAACAGAGCACACGAGGTTAAATAAGAGCGAAGCATACTGCGACCACATGATTACAGCATTACCTGGCCAAGCTCGAAGCTGCCACGGGTTCAACCCTGCAGCCACCACCTCCTTGCCGTTGCTCGCGGAGATACCCAAGCAAAGTTTCAGCCTGCAAATCACACAGCTAAACATAAGTGTCTCCAAAATTTGGAAGCAGATTTCAGATTCAGTAAATCTAGATAGCTAACTAGTGAAGCACACATTCGGGGGTGCTCTTTCCAATCCGACTGTACAACTAGGCAGATAAAGCACGACAGGCTAGACTATGGTGGCAAAATGATAATTGTCATATAAATAATTAATATACTTATTGTTTACTCCCTCCGTCCCATAATATAAGGGATTTTGAGTTTTTGCTTGCAACATTTGACCACTCATCTTATTCAAAAATTTTTGAAATTATTATTTATTTTATTTGTGACTTACTTTATTATCTACAGTACTTTAAGCACAACTTTTCGTTTTTTATATTTGCAAAAAAAAAATTGAATAAGACGAGTGGTCAAACGTTGCAAGCAAAAACTCAAAATCCCTTATATTGTGGGACGGAGGTAGTAAGAACTAAGCAATGTTTCTTAAATCGAAGGACCAAGCTAACAGCAAAGGTACTGCAGTTTTGACTTGCAGAAGAGTGAACGTGCATCCTCTTGTACCTCGAAGGTTTAGCAAATCCAAGACTGTACCTAAGATATGTATAATTAATAAAGTGCATATCTGCACTATGTGAAAAGAATCTACAAGTCAACAACTAGTGTACTGCAAATCTGCATTGCGTGTTAGCTAGCATGATGGTTTTCTTAATAGAAACCAGGGCTGAATTAAACAGCTTTGATAATAATCAGGTAGTAGAAATCTACCTAAACTCAGGTACGTGCACAGTGAACCTTTTCCTCCGTCTAGGTTTAATGTACTTTTCAGTACTTATTATAATGGTAATCAGACTTCAATCAAACTCTAACAGGTGAATTCGTTGGATACTGTTCGGTACAATTATCCAAAAGCTTCAGTCACACCAAAAGCTCAAACCCAAAATCTACACTTGAAAATCGACATACTAGAAATCTTGCAAATCATACCCAAATATCCAATCCCGATATGACATTAGCAAACAAGAGGAATGTAAAGTTGAAAAGGTTTTACCTTGTGCTTGGCACGGGCAGAGCCGGACTGCGAGAGCGCGACAAGCGGTGGGATGGCGCCCTCACGGACAAGAAGCGCGCGGTTGCGGGGGCACTCGGAGCAGAGCTGCAGCAGCGCCACCACGGCGAACTCCCTCTCCCTCGCCGGGCCGTCCTCGATGGTCTCGACAAGCGCCGGTATCCCGCCAGCCTCCACCACGGCGTCGCGGCCCTCGACGATGCCCGCGAGGCTGGCGAGGACCACCATTGCCTTCTCCGACGTCCCGCTGCCACGCTCGCCGACGAGGTGGATGAGCGGCACGACGGCGCCGGCGCTGACCGCGCGCTCCTTGTTCCGGCGCGCCGAGCAGAGCCGGTAGAGCGTGGTGAGCGCGTCCTTCTTGCCGCGGGTGGAGCCCGCGGAGAGCAGCGCGACGAGGGGAGGGATGGCGCCGCACGCGCCGATGGTGGCGCGGTTCTCCTCGATGCCCGAGAGGCTGAGCAGCGCGCACGCGGCGTTCTGCTTGGCCGACGCGGTGCCCGTCCGCAGCGCGTACACGAGCGGCTTGATGGCCCCCGCCGCCGTGATGGCCGACCGGTTCCGCTCCTCGAGCGAGAGGTTGAGCAGCGCCGTCACCGCGCTCTCCTGCGCCACCGGGTCGGTGCTCCGCAGCAGCGGCACCAGCGCCGGGATGGCGCCGGACACGCCGATCAGCTCGCGGATGTCCGACCTGTGCTTCGCCAGCAGCCTTATCCTCGCCGCCGCGGTGCGCCGCGCGTCTGGCGCGGCGTCGGGCCCCAGCGCCCGCACGCACGCCAGCACGAACGGCTCCACGCGCTCCAGCGGCGCCGCCTCGACGGACAGATCCATCGACTCAAGCTCATTCAGATCCACGGCGCCCACCTGCGGCGCGTCGGATCTGGGCGTCACCACCGCCGCCGCCGCCGCCGCGAGCCGCTCGAGCTCGCCGGAGATATCCGAGTTGAAGCTCGAGTAGTCACTGAAGTCCCGCGAGAGCTCGAGCATCTCCGTGGCCGCCGCGTTGGCCGACGACGACTTGGCCACCGCCGCGGGGTGCGCGGGCCCCGCGGTGGCCGCCAGCTCGCTGAGATGGAAATCAATCACGGAGTCCGTCAAGTTCTCCATGTCCGAGTCCGCCCCCGCCGCGTCGTACGCGGCCGCCACATGCGGCGAGCCCGGGCAGGAGTCCGGCTGCAGCAGCGCCGACCGGATGGTCCGCATGGAGTACCCCGCGCCGCGGCGCTGCGACCGCGCCGCCGCGCACGGACTCTGCCCCGGCGACGGGATCTGGGAGCCGGCTAGCGACACCATGGCAGGCAAGGGCTAGGAGACACCGCCAGTTGCCGCAAAGCGCGAGAGCGAGCGAGCGAGTGATGATGAGGAGAGGAGGGTTGTGTTGTGGTGGGTGGTTGGTTGGTTGCGCGATGCAGTGCAGTGTAGTACTCCCACGCTGCGCTACGCTACAACCCGGCGCGGCGTATATACACACGTACACGACGCGGCAGCGGCAGCATGGCTCGCGTGGCGTCGCAACGAAACGGAACGCGACGAGAGGCGTGCTTGCGTGCGTGGTGGTGGTGGTGCGGTGTGTATCTTTGTAGTCGCTTTTGCGCTCGCGTCTCGTCCCGGGGTTGACGATACAGGTGTCGAGGAGGCTGGGATGGGTTACCCGATTGGTACCAAACCTAGGCGCACCAGTTCAGCGCCAACGTGCGATGACAGTTGGGGCCAAGCGTTTCTCGTGCAGAGCTGTCAGTGGATGTGTGTGTGGGAGATGGATGGGGGAGAGTTGAGCCGCGGAAAGGTCAGGGAGCCATGGCATGGGCGGCCGGCCACCAACACCATGCACCGGGTGGTTTTACTTTTGGTGGCTGTGGAAGCAAGGAATCCCCTTTCTTTCCGTTTGTTTGTTCCTCCCCGTGCCAGGTAGCAGCAGCAGCAGCTCTCGCGCCACTCCGTGACGGACCACGGCCTCTCGCGTTGCTACCGCCACTGCTGTAGTAGTACGGAGTAATGGGCATGGGTGTTGCCGCCTTGGCGCGGTGCGAGGTGGAGACGTGGAGGCAGCGGGAGCGTTTCGGTGGGGTTTTTTTTTCACCGTTGGGCAGGTGGCAGCGACGTACATTTGGCAGCGCGGCGAGGAGTGGGGACGGGACGGTGTTCACGGTGAGGAGGTGGGCGCTTTGCACGCGCGCGCGCGCGTGGTCAAAAAGTCGGTGGTTGATCATGGCGCAGCGCATCGGAGGCGTTTCTTTGATTCTTTCAGGTGCGCGTGCGGTGAAAAACCGAGGGAGTGGGAGTGGGGGGAGGAATTTTTTTGAGAATTAATATTATTTTTATGGAAAATCGCAAAAGTAGTGGTCAACCGGGGAAAATCGCGAAAATAGGTCTCTGTCGAACGGGTGCAGTTCGATAGGGCACCTATCGAACGGCCATAGCGCGACTGGCGAGGAGATCGGAAGGCTGCCGTTCGACAGGACTCGAACAGCCCCCGTTCGACAGGCAGGGCTGTCGAACAGCCCCCGTTCGATAGGCTGGGCTGTCGAACTGCCGCAGTTCGACAGGGTCGCGTTCTCCATTTATTTGTAATAAGTTATTTTTTTTAATAATATGTAATTTATTTTAGTGTGTAAGAAAGGAAAATATTTTTGTAATGTTATATGTATGTGATTTAGGGTTTTGATAATGTTTGGTCAGAAATTGTAGTATTTATTTGTTGGTTAAAATATTTGAATTATTTAGTTTCATTATTTGTATATTTGAATGATAATTTGTCATGATTCATTCGAAGGGTATGCTACTGAGTAATTATCCGAAGAAGTTTATGAAATAGTACTGATAGTACTAAGTTAATCGTAAAGTGTTTCTCAAATAGTACGGACAGAACAGAAATAACTAAAAGCTTAATACAAATAGATAAGTCAAGGACGATCAGTGCCCTTCGCACGCTTGCTAGGTCCTCCCTTCTTCCTACGCCTAATCTGCTCAGTGGGATATGTCAAATTATCAGGGGGGTGCCTATCTCTAGCTGTCTGCTGTGGTGTCACGTCTGGCCCCTGACCGGCCTCCGTCTCCTGCGTCGGCTGTGTGACCTGAGGTGCTGCGTGCCAGTAATCCATCCCTACTTCCTCCTGGGGAGGATCAGTGGAAAAGAAGTCCTCAATGAATGCTGTGCGAGGGGAGTAAGCAGGCACTCCGTGATGCGTCGACGCCGAACCGTACTCATCGTCTGTTTGTACAAGAGGGAGAAACCAAAAAATATGGCGTAGTTAGTAACGATACATATAATTAGAAACTAAAGCGTGTTATTGTTTAAAATGACTTACATGTGTGCTGTGTGTGGCCCTGCTCTGGCGCACGCGGAGTGATATGAAGTCCCCATGCTGGTGTGTTCAACACGTTGTCCCCCGTTGGCATGTAAGGGAAGTGTGCCGACCCAGATGCTCCCTGCGAGGGGTGAACATAAGGCGGAGTTTGGAATACCTGCATGACTTGACTCCCCCGATCGATCAACACATGTTGTCTTCTGCACCACTATTGCCAGGCTATAGCCTTTCTCCCTTACTTTACTAACAAACTTCCTCCAACTCCCAGTTGACGCAACCTCCACTACTCTCCACTGCCATCCATGTTGACCCCTCACTGGCCACACGGCATTTATGACAAATTTATCGTGCACTGGATCTACCCCAAACATATTATACAACCACCCTAACACGTCGTTCAAACCCATATGCTCCGGTGCATTCAGACTAGTATCATGGAAGGCATATACAGTCAAATCCACCCCGCTATCACATATTTGTATAGGAGCATCGCCATAATACAGACGAATGGGCATATCACCTGACATCCTGATAAAACATGACAAATAGTCTCACGTTTAATCATTTAATCATTCGATAATTACCCTATTACAACTTATACTACATTGCCGTGTACTAATTTACAACTATTAGTAACAAACAACTAGTTTAATAATCCAAATAAAATATAACACCTTTGTACATATTTTAACACACAACATATCAATAATATGTACTAACTAAGAACTAATTTAACCGTACAATTACTTAAATACCTCTACCAACATTTAGCAATAACAAATATGTGCTAACCATACATACTAACATCGAACAATGCGAAACAATTAACAACTCTTAAACCAATTTTTTATTAAACTTTCATATGCATTGTACTTAGGGATTACTAATGTATACCTTAACTTCACTGCTGGAGGGCATCGCCAACCCTTTCCTCCCGGCCGACGCCTCCTCGGCCTCGTCTCCGGCCTGCTATCCCCTCCCCTCGCTCCCTCCGGCGCTCACGGCGACGATGTGGCGACTCTCGACGGCGGCTGGCGATGTGGTCCTCAAACAAATCGAACAAGCATCGCGGGCTGGGGAGACGGGGTTTTAAACCGGCCTGTCGAATGCCCATTGTTCGACAGGGTCGGTGGAGGGACCTGTCGAACGCCCCCGGTTCGACAGGCCTGGCGGCGCGGGGTGGTGGGCCCTGTCGAACTCCCTCCGTTCGACAGGCGAGCGTGTCGAACGCCAGCCGTTCGACAGGGCTCTGTCAACTGCCCGTCGTTCGATAGGTGCCCTATCGAATTGCACCCGTTCGACAGGGACCTACTTTCGCGATTTTCCCCGGTTGGCCACTACTTTTGCGATTTTCCATAAAAATAATATTAATTCTCAAAAAAATTCAGTGGGGGAGTGCGTCCACGAACGATGGCGACGGCGAGTGCGGGAGGGGGTGACAGGTGAATGCTTTTGTTGTTAACCACACAATACAGGACGGTGATTTCTTTTCAATCTCTTTTTTTTTTTGGCTGCGCACACAAATCACGTTATGATGTTAGTCTAGACCAGAAATATTGCTAGGATATAAGCTAAGCGTGCATATGAGCAATGGACATATCAGCAAACCATTTAGGATATTGGTTGATTACCGTGTAAAACTAGGCTTCATTGGCTTCCCGGTTCAGCACTAATCTAATACGGAGTATGGTATTGCGTGATGGGGAACAACATTACAGGTTGTTAATATATGTACATTGTACTTACGAAACCTTGCTGTGCACAACACTACAATAGCAAAATAAGCCCCTCTCGTTAAGCGAACATTTTGGCCCCTTTCTAATACTAAAACGCTTTACTTCTAAACAAGATTATTCTTTTAAGGAAGGAACGAGACGTCACGCAGATTTGGGTTGAACTAACTACTCCAATTCCTCAAGCATATGTTGAGCAAAAGCTGCAATACTGACCTCCTAGGATACCCTGATACGGCTGGGAGCGTATCCGTATCGGATACGTAAAGGAATACGGATACGTATTCGGATACGCTCCGATACGCCCGTACGTATCCTCTATTTTTCTGATTTTCAGAAAAATGAAATAATTAGGGATACTTCTCTGATACGCATGGATACAAGGTACGATCTAATCCTAACTTCTCACGGGATACCAATCCTCGCCGCGTCCATCTTTTCCTACCCAACGGCGTCGTCGTTCTGGAGCGAGGCAAAGGTAGAGCCACCACTTTGCAATGCGGGCCTACTACTGCTGCCGCACGCCGCCGAGGCGCCGCATCGTCGCCATGCCCCGTGGAGCCGCCGCCGCCGCCGCATGCCGCACCCCCCTAGCTTAGCGCACGCAGCACACACCTCTGCTCGCGGTTAGGGATTGCTTCATTCAAGTGAGGTAAGTATCGTGTATTGACGGTTCAGGGCATCCTGGATCTCGATTTGTTGGGGCCGGGGAAGGAGAACATCAGTTTGTGATATTGGACACCGTAAAGTAAGACTACAAAGCCATAAGTGACTTTTTGAAGATCCAGTACTACTGCATGAGGTCTGGTCAAAGCTATACAATTCTAAGCTTTAATGTATCTATGTATTGCTCTATTAGTTATCTTTCAATTATTGGCAATCAATTCTCCCATTTTCTTTGAGGAGTGCATTGTTTCTTTTTAATTTATTATGTATATATAGACGTATCCACGTATCCATGTTTTTCGAAAATAGCCGTATCCCGGTATCCCCGTATCGCGTATCCGTATCCGTATCCGTATCCTCATATCGGGGTAACATAGCTGACCTCTCTCGCTCTAAGAAGGAATAAGTTCACCGGATATCTCTCAACTTAACAGCGAGATTTTTTGAGGTTCCTTACCTGTAAAACCAGAAATGTTTACCCCTAAACTTATTCAAATCGTTCAAAGGAGGTCCCATGGCAGTATCGACTCAATTTTTGCCCGGTTTTACTGACGTGGCATCCTAGTTAACAAAAAAATAAAAATAAATAAATATGTGGGACCCACACGTAAGTGAAAAAAATATGGGGTCGACAATCCTAATCAGCAATCTCCTTTTTCTCCCTTTTTCTCTTCTGTTTCGTTTTTTGGGGGAGCGGCAGCGGGTATACTGCCTCGGGACCTTTTTTAAAGGGGCAATTTTGTTTCTAACCCTATTTGATGTCTAATATTGATTTTACCCCTACTTTTTAGGATTTTCATTTTTACCCTCACTTTTTTGAACTGAATGCTTGTTTTGCCCCTACTTTGGATGGTGAAGTTAATAGTGTTAAGTAATTGACAAAATGGCATTTATACCCTCTCATGTATGTTCATTAATAATGTTTTTGTCCCCATTTTATACATGTAGCTTTAGAACTTTATTTTTGGGAGTATATTTAAAATTAGATGACCCGCATTGACTAATATAACAATTTGGACAAATTCTGAATTTGATGGAATTTTGACAAAATTTCAGCATTTTGATAGAACTTAAACAACATTTTAACAACATTTTCTAAAATGTAATTATCTGTTCCTTTAGATACTAGTCAATGTGCTTCATTTAATTTTAAATATACTCACAAAAATAAAGTTATAAAGCTACATGCATAAAATGGGGACAAAAACATAATTAATGAACATACATGAGAGGGTATAAATGTCATTTTGTCAATTACTTAACACCGTTAACTTCACCTCTAAAGTAGGGGCAAAACAAGCGTTCAGTTCAAAAAAGTAAAACGAAAAAAGTAGGGGTAAAATCAATATTAGACATCAAAATAGGGGCAGAAACGAAATTGTCCCTTTTTTAAATGGTTTTACATAGTTTAGGGATACACATTTCTAGTTCTATGGTTAAGGGACCTCAAAGAATGTTGGTGTTAAGTTGAGGTATCTCCGTTGAACTTATTCCCTCTAAGAAAAACCGAACCCATTTCCAGACGGAATGAGCTCATCTCAGGTCCCTTAACTTGTCAACGAATCCAATTTTCGTCCTTCAACTAAAAAAACCATACAACGGGTCCCTCAACTGTCAAAACCAGTGCAGATGAGGTCCCTCGGCGGTTTTGAGAGCGGTTTTGGCTGACGTGGCGTATACGTGGCAAATTTGACTTGGTCTTCATATGATGTGGCATTGACGTGGCAATTATGTGGCAAATCAATCCCAAAAACAAAAAAAAACTTCGTGGGACCCACATGTCTGTCTCACACACAAATTAACAAAAAAAGGTGGGGCCCACGTGGGCCCCACAAGTCCCTCTTCTCACTTCCTCTCTCCCCTGTTTCTCCCTCTCCCTGCTAGCTATGGAGCGACGGCTGACTCCGGGCGTGCGCGCCTGGTCTCTCCACCTCCGGAATATGAACGACGCGGCGGAGCTGTCCGTGGGGACCGCGTCGGCAACGGACACGGCGTCGTGGTGCTTCGCAATGGCACTGATCAGGCTTGTGTTGTGCACGCTCCACGCTGAGGCCGTGGTCCGTGGAGGTCCGCGGCCGGCGGCTAGGCGGCGCGGCGGTGAAGCCGTGCGAGGAGGTGTACGTCGTCGGGGAAGACGAGATGTTGCACACCATCAGCCTCACTCCTCCCGTCATCCCTCTCCCTTCTCTCTCTTCTTCCCTCTCCTCCCTCTCTCTCTTCTTCGCGGGGAGCGCCGGAACGGACGGGCTGGTGGGCAGTGGAGCAGCAGCCGGCGACCTCGGCGAGGCGGCGCCCTCGTCGCCGCCTTCCCTCTCCGGCGATGGCCTTCACGCGGCACCTGGACCAGTAGCCAGTAACGACAACGACGACATGGTTGGCTCGTGCAACTGCCTGTGGCTCAAGCGACATCCCCTTGTCTGCGGCAGCATCATCGTGATCAACCCGGTCACCGGCGAGTCCCTCCATATCCCGTCGCCGCCGTTGGCGACCAGCCGCAGCCGCCACGCGGGTATGATCAGCTTCGGCTACCATTCGACGACTGGCAAGTACAAGATCGTCCATTTCCCTTCCAATGGCGGGCTGGTGGATGAAGTCACGCTGGGGGGCACCGCATCGTCGTCGTCCCCTCCCGCCATGGCGGCGGCAACGGTGATGGGGTGGTGAATATCCTCACGCTGGGAGACGACACCACCGCCGCCGGCGGCGCGCGGTGGGGGCGTCGCCGTGGAGCCTGTGCGTCGCCTGGGGCGTTGTCAGCGTCAACGGCGCCACGTACTGGGTGACCGAGGGCAAGTAGATCATGTCGTTCGACCTCGAGCATGAGCGCATCGAGGCCGTCGCATTGCTGCCGACGATGAGCAAGTGCTGCTTGCCGGTGTCCATGGAGAAGGAGGACGCCTGCTGCCAGCTGACCACCCCCGCCACACCGGC